CGCATTTATTTCTGTCTTTTTATGCTGCCATGTAGCTGTTTTTTTTTTTATTAAGTAAAATATCTGGATACCTGTTGAGATACCTTTTAGATACTTGAGATGGATAGACAAGCTCGCTCCATTGGAGAACCGGATTTTTCCTGTCTTATCCACTTCTCCCAGCTAATTTAGTTTTCTATACATACTAACGAACTTCAATCTCAGCTGATGAAAGAAACTTAAAAATTATATAGACGAATAAATGATTTCAATAAAAAAATTTAAAAAATGTATTTTTTTTCGAATTTTTTTCTACCATTTTTTTTATAGTCTACATTTTTATATTATACATTTTTTATGTATACATATAAAAATAAAAAAAATGTTGATTTTAAAAATTTTTCTTTCAACACTTTCATTTTTTCAATTTTTCTTAATCAGATTTTTTCATTTTTAAAACATTGTAAAATAGTAAACTTTCTCTCGAAGAGAACTGTGGCGGCGAACCGCAGTGCCAACTTCTGGGCTCCGCCCTGAAAGTCAACTCGGTTGCAGGTGATCCAGCTGAATGCGGGAGGAAGCAAGATAAAGCTTGAGAGAGAGGGAGAGAGAAAGCGGGGAAACCGATCAATGAAGGTGAGGCGCGCGCAGCTTCGCAGATTTTTTGAAAATCTACCCGCCAACCGGCTGCGCCCTCTCGTAACATACATATAACCCCGGCGAAGCAAGCAAACCTCGAGCTGTTTTATGCTCATCCTGATCATGATTATACGCTTTAGCCAATGCGTCGCGTAATACGAATGTTTGAACTTTATGATCAGAATTCCAGGGGTAAGAAAACTAAAAAAAAACTCAATAAAATATATAAAATACTTTATAAAAATTAAATTTTCTCAATGATAATTAGGTTGTTTATATAATTATAAAGCGGCTGCATTAATGATTTTTTCAATAATTAAATTAGAGCTTGCGATAATATAAGTAGTAAGATTTTGTGTTGCATTAGACCATGACCAAAAGAGCATTGTTACGTAGTATAGTTGGAGAAACATGCAGCTTGCGCCATCTGTTAGTATTTTTAAATGTAAAATTTTTCCTCTGAAGGGACGAAAAGTTGAGGATAGGGTTCAACTACCCTCGGAAAGATGGCGCTACAAGTTATTCGGTCTTGGAAATACGATGCTTATCGGTTTCAATGGAGACAACGTTTTGCCGAGTCTTAGTTATTCATCAGTTCTTTTATTACCCAGTTGATTCTATAATATTCACGATATTCTTCATGAAATGTATCTTTTATGTACGGCAAAATATGAATGACTGACTGATCCTCCTTCATAATATAGCTAAGAACCCGTAAATAAAAGATTTTCATTAACAAGTCTTCTTATTTGATCTGCAGCGAAGAACCATCGGAAATTCAAATCCGAAAGTCAGACACTCATTGCACTAATCGAAAACGTCTAGCATTTCGCATGCAGGCTCTCTCTGGCATCATCGACATTCCATCTCCGCCACACGCACATATAACCGAGCAGTAGCACACGGCTATCTCTTGCTCGCTAGCTCATTTTACCTATCCCTTCTTGTCCGAAATTTCGCGCGTTCTCTCAACAATAAATTATTCCAGATAGATGATGTTACCGTTGTCGCAAGCTAGCTATTTATGCCGAGTCTGGCCGCTATGCTTCACATGTGGAGAGAGCGAGAGGACTCAACTCTCCTCCCTCTCTCGCTAGCTACCCTTGAGTTATGTCGACCGCGCTGGTCTTGATAGATTTTACAATTTACGGCGCGCTTCGCCGCCGCGGGCAACGACGACCTGGAATGCAACTTGTACCCGACCAGTTCGTATCTCCGCATGCTGTGCGTCCACCCGGTCATTGTTCAAACTATTCAAGTGGAAATTTGCGAATTTTTCTCGCGACCTAAAAATTGTTTTACAGTGACGTTTATTGAACTTTCGAATGAAGAAACCGAATAGACTAGCAGCAATGTGAAACTGAACAGCTGGAAAGCATTAATCTTGTTCTATCACCGCCGTCGTTGTCGTTGAACAACCAGAGCACAAAAGGTACGTACATGGGAGATTACTAAGAACGTGACGGAGGAACGATTTCACGGCGGCACGGAAATAACCCCCGTCCCCTTCGACGCATTCTCACTCACACGCAGACACACATACTCACACAACTGCTACACTACACTCGGCGTATTATCTTGGCATGCATTTTAGACCGAGAAGCGGTAGACTCTACGCTATCTCCTGAACTATACACTTTATCTGCGCTCTCCTTCCTGTAGGTGCTTTTAAGGCTTTTAGCGTAGATTCAACACACGCGCGCGAAACGATGCGGCGTTACCATTTCTCGAATGTGAGAGAGGACTTAACCGATGACGCCGACACCTGCAGATACGCCTTCATCTCCCTCTCGATCACTTTTGCATAAAAGATGAGTTATTATGCCAACATCACTGTAATTGAGAATTCAATGAAAATAAATCTATTTAGACATGAAAAAAAGACATGGATTTTAACAGTTGTTCACAAAGTCAATTGATAATTAAAAATATTTTAATATTTTTAGATTTCAAGTTAACATAATAAATCAACTTTTACTGTACTTTGAACCAGCAAATAACCATTATCTTTCCTTAAAAAAAATGATGGACAAAATTTCATCGCTGATATCCAGCGTCATGATTGGTCGAATGTTCAAAAAGCGCGAAAGTTCAAATGGTTTTTATTTTAATAAATGAATGATCACATTTTTATTTTTTTTTAAATAGATAACAAAAAATATATCATTTAGATGGATAATATATGAAGTAAGAATGAAAGAATGACATGAATTCGATGTAATTTATTTTTTTTTTATTATTTTAAAAAAATGATGGATCTCCGACATCCAACGTTGTGATTGGTTGATGCTAAAAAAGAGCGTGAAATTTCATATTTTCCTATACATTGAAATATTATTATTATATATTTAGGAGTGTGAGATTTATATTGCACCAGATAATTCAATTTTTGAATAATTAACATGGATAATAAACTGCAAGAATGGAAATATGCTGTTAATAAATAGGTTTAAGAACGTAATACGTTATGTTTTAAATACAAATCGTTAATTTTATAGCCATCTGTAATACTGAAATTAATATCATTAAAATTTAGTAGAAAGTGAAAGAAAATGAATAGAATAAAATAGAGAATCATATTTATCTTTTGTACACTGTAAATTAAGACGTTTGCAAACAACGGAAACTAATTATTACAATATTAAACGAGGAAAAATATTCACGAGTGTTTTCATAGAGGCAACAAAAAGTGCACGGTATTAAATGTATTACTCATATTAATATAAAATTGGAGCTATAATCACTATTATTGAATATGTAAGTTTAGTGTTGTATAATAGTATAATAACTTTATTGATCTTAGGTTGAATTAATTTTTTGAATTAATCTTTTAATTAGCGAAGCGCGCTAATTAACACTAGTATCGTAAAAAGATGCCATACAATATATTCAACTAATCACACAAAAGGTATGTGGATATTTAAAAAAATTAGATAAATTTAATTCATAAACATTATCGTAAAAAAGGCGATTCGTTATTAGTTTTCACTTAATAAATTTCATATGTGGCAGATTTTGTATTCTATCTCCCCATAAAAACTTACAATTTTTCTTGCGTGTTCCCCTACTTATCCTAAAGTCTGGTATACAAACCCATCGAAGAAGGATGAAGAGAATACGCGAAAAACTAATAAGATCGAGAATGGCTACATTAATTTTTGTCATGACAACCAAGGTTATAATCATTATTGGAATAAAAATCATAATTTGATTTTCAAATTACATTAATCAGTTTTAGAATGGATAACTTCAACCTGAAGGGCACTATCTTTTGAAAATCGATTCTCTAGCTTTTTCTCTATAATATTGAAGGGCCAGCTGGATCTTACTCTAAGAAAATTAATAAACATTCTGAAATATATGGATAGTATTTCAATATTTTACAAACTTGATCATTAACTTGATTTTACTAACAATGCAACTGATCGTAATATTCAAAAGATGACCTTATACCCCGTGAATGACTACATACGGTTATAGTCTTTAAATCTTTGAATACAATCCCTTACTTTCCAAGAAAAAAAGCATATACTAACGCACTTCCTGATAGAGTTTATTCTTTTCAAAATTCTATGATAAAGATATAATCCACCTAAATATATATCATGTTAAGCTTTGGTCCAATCAACCATTATAATCTTTATTTTTCAAGAAACTTAAAATAATTATATGAATGAAAAATATACCAACATCAGATATATTTTGCAAAAGAAATCATTGGAAGTATGAACTGCACATTAACCTTTTCGTATAAGATGTTTTATTTTGGTTGATCTTACAACCATAAATAAAATGGTAATGTAGTTCTTAAAATACCAGCTTCGATTACTTTTTACTTTGTATTGCATGAGAAATTGAACATGTTTTGAACAGACAAAAGATTTTACCATCTATTCAGGAATAATCGAACGTTCCTATAAATTTCAAGTATTATATTATTGTGATTGCAAGGAAGGTTGTTACAATATACAAGGTAGAATTGTTATTTGTATACGTCTGATAAAAACAGTACATGAAAACTTACCGCTCTCAAAACTCTTTCAAAACACAAATCTCCATCAATTAAAATTTAATCATCAATAATGTTACGTTTAAGTAAAAATAGAAAAAAAATATTATAATTACAATAATCGTGATAACAGTTTATTTTACCAAAGATTCAATATAATAGACGCAAATATGGTTAACGTAGAAGAAATAAGATGATGACTTTTAATTTTAATGAGTAATAATAAAATTAAAGATTAAATTAATCATATAAAGGAAGGAAGCACTGGAAATTCCGACCTAATTACTTACACTAATCATTGAAGTTTGGGAATCTCGTGTATACAATGAAAGTTGACTCCAAAATAATGAATAAAAATAATTTTTATTACTCATAATAGTTTCCAATACAATCTTATAAATTGCTCAACGAATAATCATTTAAAATGAAGTTTAAGTTTATAGACCAAACGGAAAGTAATCATTCAAATCAAGCTAGTTCCATCAAAACACGTTAAGCAAAGAAAAATTCACACATCCAAGTTAGAGAGCAGCAGTTCTAGTATCCTTTCTTCTGTTTTTACAACATGAGTTCTAGAATACTGGTCAAAAGAGACACGTTGCTGGACTGTCTTGCTTGACCATTCCTCAAATAAACCAGTTTTTCATCGCATGCATACAACATGCGTCCATTCTATTTTTTCGAGATACCATACACGCAAAACATCAAAATAAACAAAAGTAGTTACAAACTAAGAACAATTGTCCAACTAAAAGATACACTGAGTGAGAATATATAAAAAGAAAACTTAAAAATTCACCCCGAAAATCAGGCTCGCGTTACATACTTTAAGCGCAAGCCGTGCACCGCGTTATAATTAACATAGAGCTAATGAAATGAGCAAGTGCCGAGTTGCCCTCTTTTGAGCTCGGGAAACACTTTCCGCGGTGAACCCCCTTCATAAAACGCGCTCGAAGCATCGAAGCGCGAAGGGAGAATGAGTGGCGGTGAAGTCACCCTCTTCAAGTTTTGTTACCATCCCTGTGCGTTTAGCTAAGATGATTTTGGCAGAAAGGAAAGGTAAAGAAGCGTGAAATATTGGCCTCAAAATATTGGTTCAATGGTTTCTAAATGTTTAAGCAACTATTTATTTTTGCACAATCATTTCAAAACGAATTTAAAATTGTTAGAATGATCATCAGGAATATTATTATTTTCCAAATAGAAACAAACCTGTACAACGATTTATTCCACTTCGAAGAGCTAACTAGAGTGAGTGAGAGGGAGACAAGCAGTGGACGTTGACACATTTGCTAAACGAAGCCAAGAATCTGTAATTACTTCGATTTTCCGTCGAGGCGGCAAACATAAAATTTCCAGAATAGAACGAGAGAGAGAGAGAGAGAGAGAGAGAGAGAGAGAGAGAGAGAGAGAGAGAGAGAGAGAGAGTAAGAGTACTGCCGAGGGCTGAATGCGATGAAATACTAACGCAATTAAACGCGGCCGACAAGCTCGCGCGCCGGTTATTGGCACTCCTCGACTGTCCAATTCCATTAAGCCGCTCGAGACTTCATCGGGCGATTCGCTCGCTCGCCCTTGTTCTTCAAGAGTCAAGTGAAACAAAGCGCCGAATTTACTCGATTGACGGCAATTTTCCCTCGAATGGACGAAACAATGCTTAGTATTTTTGTCATATCGAAAGAGAGGCAGCAGGTATTAGAAAAATTTTAGATCGCAAGAATTGTCAAATTCAATAAGAATGAACAGAGGGCTTGAAACTTGATTATAAAATGACAATTTAATAGAATCGTCGTCAACGATGACGAAACGCCATCGCATGTGTCCCTGTTATATTACTCGACTCACTCGCGAATATTCGCTTGCAAGGTTTATTAGCTGACTAGATGGAAGGCAGATCGAGTTAGAAAGCGAAAGACACGTTAGCTCTCTACTCTCCTCTTCGTAATGCTATATATATATATATATATATACACCACAACTTCTATTATATTTCTCTTTTACGTCATGGGCTTCGACTATGTGTGTTAGCATATGTGTGATTCGGAAATTTGAGAACCTGTCTTGTTAATTGACCCTTCGTTCCACTTCTATTCAACTATTTTACATATCTACCATTTCCATTTTTTTCTGAATCTGGGATTTTCTTTACGAACCGTTCAATTATATTATAAGTATAAAAATAAGTTCAAACTTGATTACAAAAACTTAAAAACTTTTGTGGCACTCCTTTATAACAGTGTTGGTTGCACCTGTAGGAAAATGTAAGCGAAAGATGGTCAAGAGAGATGAACAGGAATTTGTCAAGCTAACAAGGTGTTAGCTTCTCTTGTGGCACGCTCCAACATTTGTAATGCTCAAAGTTAATTTGGAGAGCAGCTCTCGTGGAGAGTGCAGGAAAAGCCCAGAGAGAGAGAGAGAGAGGAACGCGTGAAAGTGAAGAAGTTTCACGCGACTCAGATGAATAAGCCAATCTGTGCCTGTTTCCACAAGGTACTTGTTTTCTGCTTAAATGGCCTTGATTGTTGCGTCGGAATCTTGTTGGTGAACAATTGTCTGTCAGTCAAAAATTGAACGAGCGGAAGATTATAGTTTAATCGATCTTAGACATACTCAACGTAGAAAATAGTGAGTTTCACATATCTTATTCGTCACGGAGGAAACCCCAATTGGTTTCTACAAAAATTATCTATTTATCCAACGATAAACGTAATTTATGTATTACGATAAATCATTATATCAAGGTCAATTTAGAACTTATGCTAATACTATACCAACAAAACGATAAGACGTATCTAATTTATGATCGACCTTGAGAATAGGGTGCATCTGCGTTAACTTGTACATAGTAAAGTCCGTGAGGCGTAGTCTTAGTATGTAATCCACCCATAACAGCTATTTCTCCAGTACAATTGCCTTCCTGCATTGCCCACCAATCTTCACACAATTTGCCATAAAAACCTTTAGATTGAGGATCCAGAGATTCGGCAAAGTAACGATAAGATCGTGCGTGCGAACAATGGTAAGTTGAGCAACCAGGTTGCAGTCGTCCGCTGTTAGGGTAGAAATCGTAATGACCCATTTGATTTTTTAGACCACATTGATCAATTTCTGTATGAATGACTTCGACTTGTTTGGCATCGTCTTTCGATAGACGCTCGTCGATCGATTTCTTTGATAATAAAGGTTTGGCAGGATCCAATCCTTGAGTTATATATTTTTAAATTAATATTGGTTTCTGTTTTATTTTCATTATGTATTTGTGAAAAATTAACTAACCGACAATTCGTCCGACTTTACTGCCAGCTTTGTGACTTGCTAGGCCAGCGATATGAGCACCAAGTGAATGACCGACTATCGTCGTGGTGCTCAAATCTACTCCGTATCTCTCCAAAAACTGTAGAAATCTGCTGACGAGCTCTGCAACTGCATCTAACTTTATTACAACTGCGTCGTATGCTAATAAGACGTTTAATACACCATGTTGATTTGCGCTCCAGTCGATGACGATCACGTTAAAATCCCCACGTTTTAGGAAACCTGAATCAATACCAATATAACGGAATTTAAGCCAAACTATATTGCTAGATTGCCGTTAGAAAAATTTCTCTCAAGGGCCCTAGAAATTATTTAACTCAACGTAGTGCCATAATTTGTAGCGACCCTGAGAGAAATTGTTTTCAGCGGCTATGCTGCTATGTTGCCATGTTTCGCGAGTATGCTTACCGTCGCGAACAAGGCGACTTGCAGATTTATTGTAATGACTTTTGTAACCATGAATGAAAATATTCGTCGGTTTTTTCACGTCAAAGTCACCTTTCTGCAAAGACGATTCATCGTCTATAAATAGTTGAGTTGGATACGGTGTATCATACAAAATTCGGTCTTTGTTGTAAAACAGGAAATGAACATTTTTCTCGTTAACAGATGAACTGGAAAACCATGTCGTAGGCGAACGTTTCTGTGAATCGTAAACATTCAACACAACCAAGTTTTTTTCATATGAAGCTATTATATAAATAGTAACTAAGAACTCACAGATCTACTTTTGCCCCATGCACATGAAGCCTGTCCATCGAATTGAGCATCAAGTAATTCAACGAGAAAACAAAAACAAAACAAATACACCAAACTAAAAACGCCCATGATGAGATGCTTGGTTTAGTATAAACTTTGACAGAATAACTAATCAGACTCTGACCACAAATGTATATATAACCATGAATACAATTATCTTTGGCGCAAGCCTGATAAGATATGCGATGTACGTCTATGAAGTCAAAGTTGAGTCACAAAGTGTATACACGAACATGAATACAGATTTAAAAAAGAAAGACTTTAAAACTATTAAAGTCAATTTTGATTTCTATAACACGAACTTATATAGTTCTTATAGTTAACGTTCATTTTTCTTTGCGTATAATTTTGCGAGAAAATAGTGAGATTATGGCAACCTCGGTTTTATCTTATTGATTGGCAAACTCGTCACAACTGTCAGTTATTTTGTTTTGTGAACCAATTAAAAAACTAATAAAATTGAATTCGAATTAAAATAATAATTTATTAGTAAGCTTATATTAATGTTCAACTGTCGTGCGCCACAAATCAACTGCTGAAAATTGAGCTGTCATGAAGTTGCTCGATGTTCAGCCTGAATAATTTTGCTGAGCTCGATTAATTGAAGGTCACGATAAACTCGATATACATAAAAGTAATACTTAGCTTCAGATATTTATTCATTTACGAATCCAAACTGCTATAAGAGCCTTCTGTTAATTTCCTGTTTTTTATGGCGATTCTAACACGTTACGCTTTCGATGCATAACTTACTAATTACTTGAAACAACTTGAATTTCACGAATTCCGCATAAAATGTTAAAAATATTTCATACGAGTCTGGTATAGTACGGAACGGAGAAACACAAATAATAATACTGCACATGTCGTCGAGCAATGCTAAAAACTAAACAAGAACCGAAAGATCCGTGAGAAAATGGACCACGGATGGAAACTGATTGCATGAAATTCGCATAATCATCGTCGGCAATCATAGACTCGCAACTCAGCCGAAGTTTCAAGCGAAAGGGAAGATACTATGGTGCCATGGCGGCGGTGCAACTGTCGGACATGACGTTGAGAAACGAGTTGTAGTTGGGCCTGGCAAAGTCCAGTCGAGAGAGGATCTGGTATCAGGCTCGTCAATCCAGCCACCTACACACAGACACACCTGTAGGTGGGCTAGAGTAGTGCTAGAGCGGACGCGGAATATTATGGACTTATCAAGCCATCCTAATAGTCTCATCAGGATGCAAGCCTGCAGATCTCATCATCCCCGGTGTATCTGGAGACAGAAATAGCGTTCGTCTCTCTCGGTATAGCGGCGCGAGCCGCCACAGCCGCAACACAACCCAACACGCCCGCGCGTTCGTTGGTATGGGGAGTAATAGCCGAGTGGCATGATTACGCGCGCGGGCTTGCGAGTCGTTATAAGGCACAGATCGCGCGCTTGCAGCGAGGCAGCGAGCGACGGGGCCGCTGGCTTGCGCGCTTTCATCAAAGAAACCAAGCCGCAGGTTATATGTGCAGGCCTCGCATCAGCGATCTACCGTACAACCGAGGTCGCACGCGCTCGCTCCCTCTCTCGCGTTTATTGCTTCGATTGCCCTCGTGGCTTCTAATTAGGCCTGCATTGTTGATGTTGCGCTATTTGGATTCGATTTCGCGTGCGTGCATGCGCGTCATCTTGATTTTGCCGTTCGTAATGAACGAAGGTCGGCTAGTCGCTGCCGACCATTCTTCTGCAAGCGTTTTTCTGCGACCAAGTATCTCGTTGCCCCGTTCGAGTAATTCGTCACGTGAGAAAAATCAGTAAACTTGGCAAATGTGGCTTGGTATGTCCAATCCGAATACTAGTTGCACTGCGAATAGAAGAAAGGAGGCGCATGTGTTGCGGATGCCACACATACACGGTGAGCATAGTTTTGAGATGCACCTAGATTGTTATTTAGTACGGTTTAGAATTTCCATAGATAACGGGGAATTATAACGAGCGCTCGGCCACGCGCTAACCAGTCTCTCTCTCTCTCTCTCTCTCTCTCCCTCTCTCTACTCTGTAACGTTGCTCAAGTACTACTATAACCTGCCCATCCTCCACAATATACGTAGTGCCGGTAACCAACGAAGATGCAAACGGCACATCGATCAGAGATTACATCTCAAATTACGAGATGTAAAACGAGCTTGCAAAAGTCGAAAGACAAGCAACAAGGAGAAACGGGCAAAAGACAAACGTGGATGTAAAGATCGTGCTTGGCTCGGGCTCGCATGTGCATGTACGCACAGTAGTGTCTCGGGGTCAAACTGCAGGCGTAAGCTTTGTGATCTTCAATGGCGTGTGCAGCAAGAGTATAGCGCGTGTGTAGCCCTCCGGGCTATAACGCCGTCACTCGTGCTTCTCCAACAACTCGGCACTTTTTCTTCCAGACTCATATAGAAACTATAGCAACTAATCTGCCGAGCGAGAACGCCGCCAGCGCCGTTGGGATAGTATTGACCAAGCAACAGTCCCCGTCGGCTTGGTCTTCGCGACGCTTCTTCTTATTTTTTAGCGAGTTTCACGGCAGGATGGCCTGCCTCGATCTGGAGCGCGCGGTGAAAGGTAGACGACCGTGATAACGACAGTTTTTGAGCTGCGAAGCCGGGTAGAAAGGCGAGCTGGCGAGGAGCACGGACAAGACTTAATCGTCGGGGGCTCGGCTGCTGCTGCTGCCACGCTGCGCTCAGGTTGGGTTTAAGCGACTCTCGTACAAGTTGTGGGTGGAGGAGCGAGAGCGAGAGAGTCGGTTGGCCCGAGGGGGAGGGCGGCGGCAACTATTATAAACTGTAGCACCTCGAACTACCGCCCACCTCTCTCGCCGGCCGCCCCCTTCCTTCAAATAACCCGCAAGCTCTATGCACAAGCCCGCCGTCGTTCTAAACTCGCCCGCAAAACTTTCAACTCTCTCGCGTCGGCAACCTCGCCTCCTCCTACTCCTCGTTTCTCTCGCTCGTACCTTCTAATCAATCAACCTCCGGGCATTTTCGAGGCGAGCCGACGTGAAAGCGTCGCTCTCGCTGCTGCAGCAACCCCCGGGATATCGTCTTAAGAGTAAGCTGAATCAGAGAGGCCAACGCTTTGGCTGCAGCATGAGGCAGCTCTGCGCGGAAACTACAACTGCAATGAACAGTTGCAAATTTTCACTTTGACTGTGAAAGACTTGTATTTGTAACTAATTGCGCGAAGACAAAGTTTCAATGCTTTTTTCTGTATCGTTCGTGCATGTAATTGCAGCTCAAAGAAATGTCCGCAATTGATCAAGAGAGACTTCAAAGTTTTTAAATAAACTTTGCGAAGCCATGGTTCTCTCTGTCTCTGAGAAAGAAGTAGAATTTTCCATTACTTTTAAGCTAAAAAAAGAGCGTCGCATCCTCTTCGCGCAGCTTCTTTTCAAGTAAAACACACAATCATCTGTTTTAATATAAAACCCTCAACCCATATACTGCAAGGCTTAACGAGCCGTTAAGAAGTTACCCCTTTTACTTTTCGTCACCCTCGTCGCTCGGTGATCGTCAGAAAGAAGAAACGCATACCTACGCTCAACTTGACTCTCTCTCTCTCTCTCTCTCTCTCTCTCTCTCTCTCCCTCTCTCTCTAAAAATATTCTTACGCGACCGGACGACGCTTAATATCCTTGGGAAGGTGGGAAAAGACGGGGGTATATGTTGCTCGCGGCCATTTTGAGCACTAAACGGCTCTGTACAAAGGGATCACGCCTTGAATACGCACCCTCCAATGAGTCTCCTCTACGCTCTCGACACCAAAAAGCCCAAAGGGTTGATGATCATCAGTTGCCGACCTCATTTTCTCTTCCATATACCCTCGTCAATTGACGCGTAAGATGTTTGACCGGATTTTATTTTTAACCGTGTTTCGAAGTAAATTTTATTTTTTTTGTAAGGCGTGATGTTTCATTAGGTTTTCGCTATGATGCCTTTTTTCAACTGTAAAAAAGACGACAGATATTTTTACCATCAACTTAAAATAGAAAAACAATAACACCAGTATTTGACTCATCTCCATTCCGATCGAGCATTCACTCTCAACTTCTCTCACTCGGCAAAAGCTAAACGTAAATACACATACACACACCCACCCTCTTTCTCTCTTTCTCACACACACACACACACACACACACACACATACACACACAGGGAAATGGAGGTAGTGCAGCTAATAGGTAATTATCGCAAGCTCTCGCTTGTCGGTACCGGAGAGGGGAATTTCGCGCGTACACAGGGGTGCCAATCCCATTCATTTCCTCGATATCCTTGAAGGTTCGATCGTCGATTTCTCTCTCGTCCCGACGTAGTTTTCTACAATTGGTTTTGTGCCTCCTTGTCTCGCATTTAGCGCTAGGATTGCTCGCTCCATTTAGGAAATCGAGTAATTACGAGGAAATGACGGGCGTTGCCCCGATGTGGTATGTTGTTGGTGCAAACGGTTCTAGCGCACGTGAAAGCAGTACTTTTGTATTTAAAGGCGCGAGATACAGGCAAGTGTTACGAGAGTGGACGCGACTGGTGTCTCTTATTTTCGAGATTTATACAAGTGATATAGTGGCCGCAACAAGTTGCTGGATAGATTTAAATACACTCAAAGTGACTGTTATTTATACAAAATTATAATAATTATTTTTACAAACTTAATCAAGAATCGTAGAAGGATTACTCGAACCAAGAGAAGAGACGATTACAAACAGTAGGTCCGTCGTCAATCGAGCGAGTTAAAACGTACGTCCGAGTGTAGTCTATATGTACGGTCTAGTCGTGCAGCTCTTAGATAGAAGCGACATCGGTGCGCGCAGTAGAAGTGCCACGAGCACGCGCTCGCGGAATCCATGCAGTAATATAGGCTCGGAGAGTCTCTATCTCCATCCGTGGTCTACGGACTCGATACGGGCATGTCGTCGTCGTCTGCGTCTCTCACAGATGTTAACTCGTTAGCATTTAATTGTGCACTTAGTTCGTCTCTCCGCATTCTACCTCACTGAGTACAACTGTAACCGGCGTCGCGTCCAATAGGTTTCTTCGGCGTCCACTGCCTCGCTGATGGTGCAATTAATATAATTACTTTCGATTAAACGAGAAGAGAGGCTAGACACTAACGGTAAAAAGCTTTACACGCCTAGGAATAACTGAGAAATTGAGAGAGAGAGCGAGGTAGTTTTAGTAGTTTCTAGCAAATGGTCGTGAGCGTAACAGCAAGCAAGATTGCTGTGGCGACTAGCTGCGGCCGACCGAATTCAAGTAAGTAAAGTTGCAAGCGTTGAGCGTGCGTCCGCCACTGGTC